CCCTATAGATCTATATTCCTGGATACTATAGGATCGCCCTCCATATGATGGGGAACAGCCCTCCTAGGAGCTCTCTCAGTGTGACACCCAAATGCGCCCCGATCAGCAAAAATACTTCCCGTGTCCCCGGTAATAAAGACGTGTCAAAACTGTTCCCACATGCGCTGCACCGGCCAGAGAAGATTTCTGACGCACGTTCCAACCGCCATGGATGTCGTCTATGCTCTCTGACGGCAGGGACGCACTCTCTACGGTTCCGGAGGGCAAACCCAGACAATTACCGCCCCGCTTCATCGTCACAAAGGTCCTTCTCAGAGCCGCCCACCTTCTCATACAGAGGGCTGTCTGTAGGAATCTATACATTTCTCCTGTAGTTATACTTGAGGTGATTGTAGCCGTATTAGTACATTTGTGACAGGAACAATTGAGTCCTGTCCGTGATACTTTTTTTTATTTGCACTAACATACAATTTTGAGGACAAGCTTTCGGGGAATGTCCCCTTCTACAAATCACAAAGTTTAAGCAGAATGTTAGAAGGGATTGAGAAAAAAAAAAAAAAGCTACACATAAGATACATCAAGAGCGAGGGGGTGAGGGGGAGGGGGGGATACTACACTCACACAGAGGGGGTCAAGCTTCAGCTAATAGTCATAAAACTGTCGGATAATGGTTGAGGAATCCCCAGGTCCAAGTTAAGGCCGTTATCTCTGGTGTCAAATAGAATTATCATTCTTAGTTCAAAAGTTTTTCTTTCCTGAATGGATTTGAAATTTCCTTTTAGAACCAAAACATTGAGGTCTCCCATAGTGTGGTCTGGTTGTGTGAAATGGTGTCCTACAGGTGTGCAGAGGTCACCTTCTTTATGTTCCTTGATGGGATGTCTGTGCAGATTCATCCTTGTTTGCACCTTCTGTCCTGTTTCACCAACATAGGATCCTTTGCTGCATTTTCTGCACTGGATGAGGTACACAACATGACTGGAGGTGCAGCTGTATGATCCGGAGATATTGAAGATCCCTTTTCAGTGTCGGACACTTTTTGATGGATTGATTTGATTGCACACAGTTTGCAGCGTTTCTTATTGCAGGGTTTGCTTCCATTATTTGTGACATCAGAAGGATGTTTCCGACTGATTAGTTTATTTCTGAGGTTGGGAGTTGTCTGAAGGCCAGTATTGGGGGGTTGTCTGAAGGCCAGTATTGGGGGGTTGTCTGAAGGCCAGTATTGGGGGGGTTGTCTGAAGGCCAGTATTGGGGGGTTGTCTGAAGGCCAATATTGGGGGTTGTCTGAAGGCCAGTATTGGGGGGGTTGTCTGAAGGCCCAGTATTTTGGGGGGGTTGTCTGAAGGCCAGTATTGGGGGTTACTGGAATATTTCTTTCAGAGTTCCATCCTCTGTCATGATGGGTTGTAAATCTTTGAAGGGGACATACCCCGAAAGCTTGTCCTCAAAATTGTATGTTAGTGCAAATAAAAAAAAGTATCCCGGACAGGACTCAATAGTTCCTGTAGTTATACGAATTTCTAGCTATTTTAGTAAAATCTGTGGGGAAAGAGTTTTTAGCTGATCACTCACTATACAATCCGATTGTACAATTTGTTAGATGCAATACACCGGATGTACAATACCTGGACTTTCTCATATATACATCCTCTCAGCTCGCTGAAGGTTTAGTTCTTATTGTTTATGTAGGTTGTTGAGTCACCGAGAAACCATGTATTTATTCAGTAACAATCGATGAGACCGATCGCGCAGTGTTGTGGATCTCTCATCTTTCCTCCATTCCTCGGACCTCCAGGGATCCCCCCCAGGTGATGGAGGGCTGCTTTGTAATTACAAACCTCCATCCTGATCACCAATGTTTCCTCTCCTGCACTCCACTAATACATGGTCTGTCTTCTGTCTCAGGGGGTCATTTTTCCGGGTTCATTCCTTTTGTGGTCATTCTTTTTTTCTTCATAGCAATTTTCTGACGGGCGAAATTATACCCATATTTGTCCACAAGATGGCGCCAGATATATGATTGTCTCCATCCTGTGGTTGGGTTTGGCTATAACATCGCCCATTATTCAATCATTTATCTGTCGCCATCTTGTGGACAAATACGGGTATAACATCGCCTTTAAATGGATGGAGACAGAGAGCAGAATGATTTAATAGGCGATGTTATACCCATATTTGTCCACAAGATGGCGACAGATAAATGATTGAATAATAGGCGATGTCATAGCTAAACCTCACCACAGGATGGAGACAGAGAGCGGACCGGCTTTTCAAAGGGCGATGTTATACCTGTATTTGTCCACAAGATGGTGCCCAGAGGGAAATCATTCTACTCTCTGTCTCCATCCTGCTAAATAAATGAAATTCTCTGCAGAGGAATGAATCACTGTGACCCCGCCCATCAGTCTCCCTTCAGGTCCGCACAGAATTATAACCAGGAACGCGGGGCATCGGTATAAATGTTTGTATTGTTTATTTCCAAGTCATATTTATTAATATTAAATTGCTGCTAACAATAGTAACTGGTGATGATGGTTTGTGTTCTGAAATGTGAAAGATGAATGTTTCTGTGTAATCTCCGAGGAAGAAATAGAAAACCATTGAGAAGAATGAAGAGATTTCTCTCCTGGAGATGGATTTCTATTGTCATTAAGGGATCTGAAAAGGGCGGAACGTGGAGAAAGCTTCCAAATGACTCCAATTGTATTGTGTGTAATGAATGGGGTGTGACTCCGCCTCTTCCCAGGAAGGTTCCCATCAGGTCCGCACAGGCTCTATAAAAGGAAGGCGGGCCCAGCCCAGAGCTCAGTCGGTGTTTGCAGCAGAGAAGAAGTCGTCATGTCTGGTCGCGGTAAAGGAGGAAGGGTCTGGGGAAAGGCGGCGCCAAGCGCCACAGGAAGGTGCTCCGGGACAACATCCAGGGCATCACCAAACCCGCCATCCGACGTTTGGCCCGCAGAGGGGGAGTCAAGCGCATCTCCGGCCTCATCTATGAGGAGACCCGCGGAGTGCTGAAAGTCTTCCTGGAGAATGTCATCCGCGATGCCGTCACCTACACCGAGCACGCCAAGAGGAAGACCGTCACCGCCATGGATGTCGTCTATGCTCTCAAACGGCAGGGACGCACTCTCTACGGATTCGGAGGATAAATCCTCATAAACCGCCCCCCCCCCCCTTCATCGTCACAAAGGCCCTTCTCAGGGCCGCCCACCTTCTCATACAAAGGGTTATTGATTGATCATCTCCAGGGTTCTATCTGCTCCTCCTGGGGGGAGAAGGATTGCCGCTCATTCCAGTGATGGGGATGATGTAACTATCCGTCAGTCATTCTATAGACCAGAGTGACGTCATGGATATAGTTCTGCAATTCCAATCATGAATCTGTCCAATCACCTGATTGCATGGTGTGTGATCGGTAATCGGGATGGATCCGGTTCGGAATGCCGGATTTTGCATTGTAACGTTAGAGTAAAATAAACATGTCGGTGATCGCGATGCGCTTATGTTTGTGACCGATCTGAGCCCCGAATAATGAAAGGGTTCATGGATGTTCTTACAGAGAAACCGATTTGATTCTTTACATATGTAATATTTCCTCTATCGATTCATTGTACATATTTATCTGGCGGTGTCATGATTACCTGATTTTTACAAGATATTTCAATATTCTGGATGTGATATATATGGGGGGGGGGGGGGGGTCTGTAATTGTTAAAAGGAAGGACAGGATCGTATACAGATCTGATAGAATCGTACGATACTTTATTTCTCATCATATAGAAAGGTAGAGATCTATGACATGTATGATGTCACTCATGTTCTGTATGTTGCGGTTGCGGGGGGGGGAGGGGAATCCTGGATTCTGAGAAGACAAATATATGAAAGTAATCATCAGAATCCATTTCTAGTCATTGTTTATTAGTCCGCAAACACATTGGATATAGAGGATCCTGGGGACAGAGATAACAGAACAAGGATTGACATGACTCGGTAATCCCCGACATCCATCTGTAGACATCCCTGACTAATCAATACAACTGTCTGGAATGAAAGCGATGATATTTCTCGGATGTCTCATCTGATGATCTCCTTTGTTCTCCGGCTCGGATTTGGCGGTATAATCGGGCTGAAGGTTTCTCTGGAACGATGGATACAATTCCGGCGGGAAGAATTTGAAATCTGAGCCAATCACAGCTGTGGGCGTTGTCTCCATCAGCCAGTAATGCATTTCTTACGAGAAGTATAAACAAGTATTCGGAGATCTCTATTCCTAGTGCAGGAAGTTCTACATCGTGTCGGGTTTTGAGTACAAATAAAACATTTCCAATGGAAGGATTGATCGATCTTCCCGGATAAAACGGTCAATGGACGCAGATCGTCTGTAACGGTCCATAGAACTCCGGCGGGAAATTGGAATGTATTAGACAATTGAAGCCATGACAGATTTTTATTCAAATAAAAATGTGGAGGAAATGATCTGATCAGGAAGATTTTTGATGTCACTGAAATCCTTTTCTATATTTTTACCGTTTAGATTTCGGATATGAAAACCGGTTATCAGCTACAAAAAACCCGCCCAATCCCGGGGCGCCGAGAGATCACTTTCTCCCCAGAAAGTTCAACATAGAAATCCTTCCCGGCGTCCAAACGTCTTCCTATGGAGAAGCAGAGAGGACACCCGGATGTAGAGGAGACTTACTGTCCGGACGGCGGGAAGGATTTCCACCTTTTCGAATTGTCATTACAAACACGTGACAGCTTCCATCCCAGAACGTCCTTTACTAATCCGAGATCTACAGAGCAGGACGGAGGGAAGAAGTCGCCGACTTCCTCCTCCTCCACCCCCAGACCCCGAGAATCCCATAGAAGCGGGAGATAGAGAGGAGTGTGTGGGATTGGTGTCCATAGAAGCCGTATGTCCGCCCTTTGTATGGAGATGTGGGGGGCTCTGAGAAGAGCCGTTGTGTTGGCGGATAGAAGGGAATCCTGTGGGGGGATTACTTGCTCTTGGCGGCCTTGTGGCTCTCGGTCTTCTTGGGCAGCAGCACGGCCTGGATGTTGGGCAGGACTCCTCCCTGGGCGATGGTGACGCCGCTCAGCAGCTTGTTGAGCTCCTCGTCGTTGCGGACAGCCAGCTGGAGGTGTCGGGGGATGATGCGGGTCTTCTTGTTGTCTCGGGCGGCGTTGCCGGCCAGCTCCAGGATCTCAGCCGTCAGATACTCCAGGACGGCGGCCAGATAGACGGGAGCTCCGGCCCCGACCCGCTCGGCATAGTTGCCCTTCCGGAGCAGACGGTGAACACGACCGACGGGGAACTGCAGACCGGCCCGGGGACGATCGGGTCTTGGCCTTAGCCCGAGTCTTGCCTCCTTGTTTGCCGCGACCAGACATGATTGGATGACTGACGAATCACACAGATAGGTCCCAGCAGCCGCTTCCTCTCCTTTATACACTCCTCTATATACCATGCCTGGGGGGGTCCCTTTTAACCAGTGGTTCTTAACCTTGTTGGAGGTACTGAACCCCACCAGTTTCATATGCGCATTCACCGAACCCTTCTTAATGGAAAAATAAAATATGATTTTTAAAATTCAAAACATAGGTATATATTTAGGTATATATTTATACATAGGTGCACAAAATGAACAATAACCGTTAAGAACAAAGAACAAAACCATTAAAACCTGATTTTCACACAAAAAAACATAATAATGAATATATTTACTGCACGAATCATATGAGTCGGGTGTGGGTGTTCACCTCCGCCGAACCCGCGAGACTAACTCACCCGAACCCCTGGGGTTACAATCGAACCTAGGTTAAGAACCACTGCTTTAAACTATCTGCAAAGCTGCACATCTGTGCAATGTATAGAACCTGCTGAAGGAGTGCGCATGCGCGACCAGCGGTGATGGTCGCGTCCTCCCTGAAGCTCCTCCGCACTGCAGGGAAGACAGCCGCCGTGACCCTCAATCCCGGCCCGCGCCATATGATAAACGGCCCTGGTTGCCATAGCAACCCAAAAATAAAGACCTGACACATTCTGATATGGTCAGGGAAGCGTTCCGATACCAGGCTCCGCCGCCCAGCAAACCGATCAAGGAGGCCCTTGCTCGTGCCTCTTCCAAGATGGCAGCCGCCGCACCTTCCTACAACACCAAGCCAGCAGCATTGAAAGCTTGCAGCCCTGCACACAGAACAATTCCATCCATTCCCTGCACTTCATGAAGGAGGTGACAGGTCGACGACGCAGAGACAAGAGACCCCACACACAAGCCTCCACGCCTTGACCTCACTACTTCCTAACCTGCTTGCACGTTTTGAAGAAGGATGCTACCTAAAGCCCTGAAGACACAGATACTCTCGATCGCATCAGCAGACAAGCTGTATCCAGAGAAATCCACAAACTAGGGCAACGCACAGCCTGACCGGGCAAAAGAGGTGAGTGGACGACCATGGTCACCAACATTTCAACTACAAGCAGATAAAAAAAAAAAAAAGCACAGACAAACTCCGACCCATTTGCGTGGACCGAATATGCCACAATACAAACGCAGCTTACATGACTTTGAAAATTAGGGCTAGGCGCTCAAACGTGCTAACTTTGGTTGCCTCTCCCAGAGTTGATATATATTCGTTGTCCAATTCTCACCATCACTGACGATATTTGCAAGAGCTGGCTCCAGCTATTCCCATTGAACAGCCTAGAATTCGGCATTAGCGGTTCACAGGGGCACTATCTCTTAATTACGCACCGACGGACTCCACCTTCGCGATATTCATTAGCCATGCTCCACTTCTTTTCACACTAAAGAAAAACTCTACAGACAGCGCGCGCAACAGCAGAATCCCTCACGTTCCAAAGGTCACACCCGCTTACCAGCTTATTTCAAGACCTCTTCCCCACTCCCATCGCCAAACAAGGGCCTAAAGGGCCTCTTTTAAAAGCCCCAAACAACGGGAAATTTCCTATAAATGGGTTTCCCCCTTCGCAGTGCGCCCCCCCCCCCCCCCCCCCCCCTCCCCCCCCCCCCCCCCCCCAGGCTGAGAACACTACAAAACCAAGGAATTTCAAACAACCCTGGGGAAACCTCAGCTGCACCCTCAACAACATCATCAAAAAGCCCAGACAACGCCCTTCACTCCCACAGAAACTCACCCGCCAAAACCCACCAATGGTCAACTCACCCCCACAAATGAGGCATTTTTCACACCTTCCCACCCACAAATTACAGGGAAAATGAATCTAACCACATCTTTCGCTTTACAACCTACATTCAACAAGTGGAATCCGCCACCCTGTAGTTGCCCCCAAAGGGTTTCGTTTCCTCTTTTCCCCTCCCCCGAGTGCAGACGTTTAAAATCCGAAACCCCTTTTTTGCCCCCCGGGTATACTGTCTTCCCGACCCCCCCTCGTCCCCCCCCCCCCCCTTCCCTTTTTTTTTTTTTCAAAAAAATTTGTAACCCAATTTGCAGAAAAAACTCTTTTTCCCCTTTTATACGGACCATCCTAATTTTTCCTTCTACTTAAAGGAAAAGGGGCGAAAAAATGAAAAATTTTTATCGCTGATCGGCAATTCGGGACAAAATTCTTCGAAATTAAATCGCTGTGAATTTAATTTAAAAAAGGGGGTTTTTTTAGGGCCCGAGAGTTAAATTAGTGAGAACATGACCCTTTTAAATTTTAAATCCTTGGTCTGGGGGAAGAGAAATAATACTGTCACTCAGTATGACTTTCCGATGATGCCGCGACTTAAATCACCCCCACACTTTACTCATTTTGGGCCCTCCCCTGCCAAAAACCCTGTTTTTAGCCAAGGGGGGGGAGGGAGCAGCAATGGGGGGCCAACACAAAAATACAAAATGGAAAACCGCAGGAGTGTGAGAGACCCGAAAATGGCAAGGCAGAGTGGGACAAAGGGGGGGCGGTAAGGGGCCCAGGACACGTGGGCCCAGCAGCGCGTGACCCGGGGGGTACGGGGGGCCCTGGCAGATTTGGGGGCCTGGCAGCACCATGGGGGCCTGTAAACCTCCCGCAAACCAGACAAATGGAAAAACCCCAGGGGTGTAGGAACCCAAAGTGGCCTGGAGGTGGAAGAATGGAGGGGCCGTAAGGACCCAGGCCCCCTGTGGGGCCACACCGTGAACAGGCGGTAAGGGGGCCCAGGCCCTTTGACCCGCACCCAGTCCTCCGATCACGAATGCGTGGCCCCCTCAAAGGGCCCCAGCAAACGCAGGGGTCACGCATGAATTCCAATGGGGGACATCTAATTACACAGGGGGGTACCTTTATCCCTTTAAAAAATAGGAAATCTTATGGGTTTCGCTGTTCGTAAAGGCATTAAATATGTAGGGTAATTTCACTTTTTGCAACTCACAGATGAGAGTCGGGACGGGGGCCCATGGCAGATTACGGCCTGGGAAACGCAAGGGAGGCCCCAATCTGCCAGACCCCTGTCAAAAATTTAACCCCCACCCCGCAGTGTAGGGGACCCAAAGTGGGGCCTGGCAGAGTGGACATAGGAGGCGGACGGACCCAGGGCCACTGGGGGCTCAGAGCATGTGACAGGCGGGAACGGGCCCCGGCGATTTGGGGGCCCGGTGGCACCT